AGATCTAATCAACAAATTTATTATAGATTATATTTAAGAATTTAATGAACCTTAAATTGTACAAAATTAGATAGTAAAAAGGTAAAACAGTGACGAAAGAAAGTTTCCCCGTTAATAACTTAACGCAAACTGTAAAAACTATAAAAAAATAATAATATTTAAATGAAAATGTTCAGTGAAATGTTAATTGCGTAATTCCTTTTTTTTCTATTGTAAAAATAAAATATTATTTTTCTTCTATTAAATTATTATGACTGACATTCGTAATGTAAATCAATTTTTTAACTTGTTTTATTATTGAGAAAAGATGGGACATGACTAACCAAAAACAAGAAAAGCGGTAAATATTAAAAAGTAAAACAAGTCAAGTTGTAATGATATATGATAATAAGTAACTAAATGATGGGTAGATGTGAATGGTTTAGACAATCACATAAAGAGGTTGATAATACTTCATTGAAAAAACTGAGAACGAATAAAAGGTACGTTTAGCAAAACTTAATTTCAACCATTAATTAAATGGTTTATTTATTTATTCATCTGACTAAATTTTTTTCTAAAAATAATTATTTAACAATAATTTGATTATTGGTATTACTAATAGGATATAAATTATAAAAAAGTGATTGTTTGGCAAAAATTCAATGATATAAAACAATTAATGATTAATAATATTTTTATTATAACATTACTACTACAATTTCATTAATGTTTAATTTAGTGTAATGATGAATTTAACAAAAATTTCAAGTGGAAACTTTTGAACTCAATAATTACTAATTAGTGGATAGTAGTATGTTACTGACAAATAAAAATGATTTATTGATTAAAGAACATGAATTGACAACTCTGAGTTGTGTGTTCTGTTATATCTGTATGCCCATAACTGTATGCATAGAAAATTGAATTTTAACTGATTTCTACACTTTTACAAAACAGGAGATTTAAACTTTGAGTGAAATCACAAGAAAATATAAAAGATCTATTTAACAGAGCGACTACCATCTGAACTTATTATAATGTTTTGCATAAAAGAATGTAATATTTTTAAGTAACGTTATGATGGTGACTAGTAGTGAAACTCACAATGCGCCTGTCACCTTATTTTAGACTCGTCAGCTTGGTATACCTTTTTATTCTTAGCATAGAGACTTGAACCCGGTACCTCTTGCTTCAAAAACCCAATATGTTAGCCATTTTGGCACTTAGTTCAGGCAGTCACTGTCTTTTACAACTTAATAAGAGCTAAGAGTAAAAACCTTTGTTATAACTTGTCTTTTGAATACTTATTGTCTTGGCTCTTTTAATGCTACTTTTTTGTATCTGGTCGTCGCTGATTGTTATGTCGGAAACACTTATCACTTATAGTCGGAACGAGGGACCTCTGAGATTCCCACGACCCAAAAGGAAGAACACAAAGACTGGTATAAGTGATGATTTATTAACGCCAAAACACCATGACGACGACTCTAGTCACTCATTTATATATTGATTGTACACTCATTTTGGTTAATAATTAGGATGAAATCACATATATGAAAAAATACATAAAGTTATAAGAAATCACATACTGAGCATAGTTCATGTCAATGGAATACACGAATATCATATGTTTTGCAGAATAAAATATCATACAAGACAATAAAACAAATACTACATTGAGTAATCATTACATTGAATCAAAACAGAAGTAGTCTTGGACAAAACTCATAATGAGTAAATCAATCGAAAATTGACTTTTCTTTCCATCATATCACCTTTCCGTTTGCTGGTCTCACTAATCATAATTGACCGATCTCTTTTGATGAGTGTGAATTTTGAGTGCATTGTCTTGGTAGTAACATTGATTAGCAAAATGAACGATATCCACGTCCTAATTTCCGCTTCTAAACACCAAAAAAATATCGTTTAGAAATGACTGTGACTCAAAAGCACGATTGCAAAAACACGCTCAAATGTACATATTGCTAAAACAGTTACTTCATATATTCCAGAAGTGCTGATAACATTTCAAGAACCATAGAATGATCTTAGTAATATATATATATATATTCACTAAACGTTTCGACTAAAAGGATAAATAACCTGATAATAAGCAATTATTTTTGTTCGCACTCATAGAATCTAAAGTCCCAGTGATCATTCATTACTTATAAAATTCAACCGAATCAAAAGTAAAATAATCCTCGTAGATGAAAAGTGGGTTCTATTCTCGATTGTTTGAAGTTGCCAATCATGCTCACTACGTTTCAACTCATTAGGCAATAGAAAACGAGACTTTGAAGCTGATTCACCATTCAATCTTGTATCAAAACTGAACCAATTTTCACTAATTAGAGGATTAGTTCTGTTCTTTCACTAGATCTGTGCGACTAAATATTCATAATTATAAGGTGTTATAAGAAAGTAAGAAATATAAAAGTAATCAGATAGAAATAAACCAAATAATTTCTATCAATGGCATAAAAGTCTTATTGATCCCAATGTTCACAAATTATTGTTTTATTTTTCACTAGTTGATTTGTGAAAGTTTTTCAATTTGTACTGAAATTATCAACTGATCAAGTTACGTGATCGTTAAGAAACTGTAAGTACTGGACAACTATTTTGTCCCAACAAGGAAACTTCTCCACAGTAGGAATCTACCACTATACCATGCAATTTAGTTTCTACTTCATTAAGCATTTATCTATTATAATTCAGTAGTGAGCTTATTTTACTGTTTTTGTACAATAATAAATATATTTTCCATAATTTTTATTTTTTATATTAACAATCAACAACGGTTTTTTCACTTGTAAGTATAAATTAATACTAAACTCCACTATGCAGATTTCTACAGCTGAATAAATAATAGAAAATTAATTTGAACAGAATGAAAGGCAGAAACTGACAAATAAGTAAATAGATACAATGTGATAAGATGACGAGAATCGAGTATTTTTATTTCATTCCTTACACAAATTACTGTTCATTTTATAATCTATAAAATTTGAAGAAGTAAAAACTACAGTTCGGTTTTTATAACAAGAATACATATTGGTTGAATGATGTTGAACATTTTTGTAGTAAGTCTTTTCTTTTAATTTAGAAAAACACAACTAAATGAAATCAGTCATGTGATCAGTGTTAGTTAATAAACAAAAATAATCACGGAGATGCAAATTTGTTTTAACAATAGTTTGTTTTAAAAAGAGAAATGAAAGTCTGACTCCAGCTAGACATCCAAGGAACTTCTCACTATTACATACACATGAAGGACAAATGATGGAAATTTGCAAATAAATTATTCAGTATATGGCTCTCATATTTTGTCAAGAGATTCTGTAATTTATTGTAAACATACAATTAGTTGTCTCAAAAAAGTGTTTTCATTCATTACACTACAAACAAAATATGTTCCAATGATGACCGACACTTGCAAAAAGAGAGATTTATTTAAGTAATTGTTTAATCGACTAAATTGAGATGAAAACCTTAGTAAGATTCACTATGTTCTCATGAGAATTTCGAGATATGTAAATACCCTATAAATTGAAATTAATTATTTTGAATTCGGTTTTAATTTAGGGCTTTCTTAACTTCAGTAATTCTTGTAACGTTGAAGAACCAGTCTTTTAATAAAAATAAACTGAATCTGATCTTTGATAATGGCATATCATAATTATTTTTCAATAACATGAAGTCAAACTATTTTTTATCAGTTGATGTTTGCTATTTATGTAATTAGAAGACGAACTAGAGTAATCCATTACATTTCAGAACAAGATTATAAAAAGTGAATATAAAGAAAAAAATTAATTAATCAATACTAACATCTTTATAACAAAGCTTTGGATAGACAGAATTGTAATGGTTTTGTAATAACCTAACTTTTAAATTACTAACTTCCATCCGTTATCATATTTCTTACTGTATACAATGTGAAGTGTTTCGATTTTGAAAATTACATACAACTCTTAAACAAGTACTTGTAAATGAACTGATGATTGAATTGTACCAGCCGCTGTCATATTGCTAATGTCAATTGATTACATCCATTTCAGCAAAGGATACTGTTAGCATTCGTCAGCTGGATAATCAATAAGATTTGATTGGTATTAAAGACTAGATATACAAGCACCCCTCACTACGAAAAAAAAGTAGTTCTTAAGCCTCTGTATCGTATGTACAGTAAAACCCACTCCAAGTAAAAGGACGGTGATATCTCAGAATACGAAGAGGATGGTATGATCTTACAAAGAGTACCGACATATTTAACCCAGATTCCTTCTAATAGCAAGTGCTAAATAAGGTAAGACTTAGGTACAGAGCTTCTCAGTAAACACCAGGAACCACTTAACATCAAGCTATTAACTTTATTATTACCGGACATTTCATTTTTATTGTAATTCCTGGTTGTTAGTGATACAGTCAGATAATAAGAAGTAGTAAGAAGTCAACCGATGTCAATCAGAAGTTACCTCAGGGTCAAGTACATTTCATTGAATTCAATTTCCTAAGGATTAGAGTGACATATATAGGAATAAGTATATGTGCATTTCATTCTGTAGTCCAATGCACTCTCTTGCTCAAGATGTCAGTTGGGGGAGGTAGCTCAAATCATACAAACTGATCTCAGTCAACTACTGTTAACTAACAACCACCAGACAACTATTTCGTCCTAGCATTGGGATGTCTTCCGTAGTTTTCGAGGTCCAGTAACTGACGCAGGTTTGATTGTACGAAGATGTTATGATTATAAATCTTCCACTGAACTTATCTCGATTAAAAATCACAGCTTATTTAAGCACATTACTCACATAATCATGATTAGCTTATCGACTACTCAGTCTGAATTCAACTTATCAGTTATTAGTTTTAGACAGATTGTACATTTGTTCAGTATATACAGGTTGCATAAGGGCTTAAAATTAATTTAATAAAAGTCCTATAATGTAAACATTAATTACTTGGCTAATCGTCGAAATTGTGTTTGGTCTTTTTTTATTCTCTTGTAGAAAGAGTATCTTATGCTTGTTGAGAAGTGTATGAATTTCGCATGTGAAATGATGGATCTTTGTCGGGGTACACAAGAAGTTGAAGCGGTTATCTCAGATTTCTTAGAAGATGGAACAAATATCCGCGATCCACTCGGTCGTCTACGACTTGCTATACGCTTCGAGGAGAAAAAGGTATAACTGCTGGGATTATTATTAGATTGTAATAATCTGAATATTCCCTACTCTTTTTATATCATCGTTTCTGTTTGACTGGATTATGCTCTTTCAATGATGTTTTACTTTCAACTAATTTATAAAATGGCTTCCAAATGCAAGTTTTAATGTCGTCATATGAAAAATATATCTCATTTAAATTAGGCATATATAAATATTGTTGACAGTTATGTATCATTATCAGCCATACTGCGTCACAGAAATATAATCAATAAGTCATTACCCTTAAAATATTGTAATAGTTTATTGAGTAATGTCATCAAAAATTTCAACATTGATTGTCAGATTGTTAAGATAAGTAGACTCTCTCCGGATTCAGTCATCTTAATGTCTCTAAAAAACAGAAACATGATGATCTAGTGATAACTATAACATATTCTTAGATCATTGACACAGACCGGTAAGCGAAGGTTGCAACTCATAATGTATGTTATTTATGATTCATTGAGCTACCAGCTAAGTAATTAAGAAGAAGGAAATGCAAGTTTTGTGGTGCAAACATTTCAAAAAATCTGTTTTTATGTACTGTTTTAATTTATGAACATATATATTTGAAGATAGATGGACGAAGATAAACATTTTGTCATAAAATCCTTACTTACGCTATTCATTAAAGAAATATAATGCTCCTAATCTATATATCTTACTAACAACTTCCATGCGTCAATAATTTAGGGACATTTACTGGATTGGTTTCAAAAATAATCTCATTTTTTGATTGAAAATATGAACTGACTAAAGCTAGACCACAATTGAAGACCTAGAGGCACTGCTGATTCGTCCTAGTATAGGACTCCTCAGCAGTGTAGATCCATGGTCTCGCAAGCGGAAATCGAAACCAGGACAATCGGTCTCACATTCGGATGCCTTACTTCTAGAACTCTGTGGTAATATCTATCGTCAAGCAATTCACAATATCGAGCAACCATGTTCATTTATTTTCGGTAAGTAAATAACTCATAACCGAAACATTTTAACTTCGCTCATCACTCTTTACATTATTTTGGGAAATGAAACATTCTTTTAGATAAATTACGTACCAACAATATTTTCAGATTTGTGTCTGGGTATTTTAATTTTAAAATTTCTGATTCCGAGTTATTCGCTTTTATGCAATAGACTTTGGTTACTTTGTTGTGATTCAGTACTGTACACTGATTCAAAATAGTTTTTTAGTCAGAACAAGGAATTATACTTTGAGCTTTTCCTAAGTTTTGATCAACAATAGCACAGTTGTTGATGACTAAAATCCCAAACAAAAACCTTTCTCAACTATATTACAGAACAGATTACTTGTTTCAACCAGACATATTTGTTCTACACTATCAATATTGATAGTAATAACTGTTTGCAAGAAATTATTGATTAATCCATTGCTTCGCAATTCAGATATTACTAAAGTATAAAATATGGAATCAACTCATAAAATCATAGATTATTTGAAATATCTCATTCCTGGCTGATAACAGAGATTGGAACAAAATTCCTTATCTATCAGCTGCTTCCGCCAAGTAAAAACAGCTGATCAACTGTAATTTCTCTGGCATTTCAATAAAAAAGTCGAGGAGACATTTTTAACAAGATCTAAGTTTTTAAAAATATGCTTCTATAACTGTTTATACAGTAACAACAACGAGGATGAAAAAAAGTAATAAAATAATGCATCAAAAGAGAAAGTAACCAGTTGGAGAATAACAATGATCACTATAATAATTATAAAATATATGCGATCATTTACCTGGTTACTATAAACTATTAAGAGAATACAAAAAAATAGGTTAATTAAATCCTTACTGGTCCTATCAAACTGAAAATTCATAACAGAAAAAGAATATATCAGAATAGTAAGTTGACTTGAAATTTATCAAAATGGCTTCAATGTACTATTAATTTATCTTTCTTCCAATCTATTATTTGATTATATAACAATTTATCTAATTTGTTCATCATATTAATTCACGTTTTTTTTGTTGTTGAATATACCCTTATTTTTGTTTAATATAAAATGTGACAATGTAACTAAATCCATAAACCATATCTTCTATAATGAACTGATTAAAACAATTGGCCATACGGTGTTTGCTTTATTAAAGTTTCATTTCATAAATCAATAAAAAAACAACTGTAATTTCACAAATGGATATACTACATTCATTCGAATAAACATATTTTAAGAGATACTATTGATCATATAATCTTTATTTATAACTAGGAAAAAAACAATCACTGGTAAATTAAATGATTACTGATCACGAAAAATATTCAAATGTCAACTGACTAATAATCACAAATGGCAAACAAATTCTGGAAATATTTCTATGGAACAATCAAAATATTTTCAAATATTCGTTCCTTTTTCTCTTCTTCTTTTTTTCTATGAAGAAAAAAAAGCGTACTCATTCCATGTCATTATTGTAAACTGTGGCATTCAATAAGAACCATTTATAAATTAACTAAACTTCAATAAAATGAGGTCTCTTTGTTTTTCTTTTTTAGAAAAAAAAGTTAAGAAATATAATTAAACCATTTAGTTTGTTCAATAGTTTTAAATAAAATCAGTCTAATAAAAATAAAAGTTAATATTATTTATAAGATTGTGAAAAGACATTAATATTAGTTATCCAGTACAGGAATATGTTAATCTGTAATAGGAAAAATTAGGCAGATTTCATCAACACTAGAAATTTTGTTTGATTAGTCAAACTTATAAGTGGATTATCAATCTGTTTATAGTTATAAAATAAAACTTGATATAAACTGAAATTTCAAATATTGTTAGAGTTGACATCCAACTTGAGATTTGTTAGATCCAAATAAACATAATGAGTGGTAACTTTTGGATCCTTTTATGTACCAATACTAAACGTAAATTTTTATCGCATAATTGTTAAATAACTAAACTATTCATATTCATGTTCCTCTTATTATAAGCTTTATTTTGATCTGTGAACCATTATTATACGTTTTACCATTCTTGAATTATGCCCTGTCTATTAGTCACTGCCTCACACATTCACAGCCAGGTTTGGTCCATAACAAGAATAAAAACTATCATTTAAGTTTCAAATAAGTTCGCATAGTGCTCAGATGTTTGTACCAAATATCAATTTATAATAACCAATATTTCTTTTAGTTAGTGGTTCTAATCAGATATCATCTATCAAGTGGCATTGTAATCATTAATTCGAGAAAATGCTTTAACTATTATGAATGAGATATAAATTATACATTTCAGACTTATAACAAAAATGGAAAAATGAAATGTGCAGCTCATACCGAAGCAGGTGATTTATTTAGAGGGCTATTACCCGAGCGTTTCAGGCAGATGTCCCATTTACAACTCAGTGAGGTTTGACCAGAAGATGCTATCCCATGGTACCCAGTGATCAATAATAAGTTCATATCATATTATATCTCTCAGAATAATACAGCCTATGTTGAATTCGAGTTCAAGTATGTTGATGACAATTCACCTTTTAAAACACGGGTTTTGGTAGCCTATGCACGTGTTACGAATATCGTTCCAGTAATCGCCATATCGTAGATTTAACCGCGATGCTGATATGGGGTGAAAAAAGGAGATTAAGTCAGTTTATAACATGGTGCCCAGATATAAAATAACTCTTTATAGAGTTGGCATCTTTCCGTCTATCAACACCCTCTTATTTGGTTTGTAGAGATGAGGTTATTCAATTGCTTCATACTTTACCAAACATGACTCATAACGAGAGCCAATTGTCGTTTTTTTATATTCTTCATTGTAATGAGAGAATGTTCTGTAACTAAAAGTTTTTCTCATGTGGGTCTTTTTAAAATGATTTGCTTCTTCTAATACAATTATTTCTCATTTACTCATTTCTATTCATTGAGTCATTTGTTTACACTCCATCCGCTGGCTCTATCTGTCAACAACCCCATCTTCCTACTTGTGTGATGCATATTTGTCTCGGTCACCACATGCACACCAATATTTATGAGTTTATGTGTAGTGAAATAAACCGTAAATAACCACTTGGTTCACCTGCTACATTGTAGAGGAATTCTAAATTCGAATGAACTAGGTGTTTCAAGTTTTGATGGTTGCAACCTTATTTCTAAGAAATTGAAATTAGTAATTACTATTATCAAATAAATAGCTTAATGTTATCGCTTTTTAGTTTATTTGAGAGGAACTGATGAATTCAAGTAAACTTTAACAAAGTTTCAATGTAAATTTCTTTGACATATAAACGTTTGCTATAAAGTTTACAAAACAGTTACTCACCAAAATAAATAAATAAATATGATTACATGTATTAGTTTCTGACAAACATATAACTTCTGTGATTTCATCAATCAACATACATAAAATTAGATGTGAAATCAAAATTTACAAGATGAACACAATGAATTACTAATGAACAGTAAGTTTTGTGAGTTCTCGACTTCGTGTAATTTGTAAATTGACGAACGACGAAATCAATTTTGTATTATTTATACAATTTATTCTCAACCTTCTAAAAACACTTTAATATCATTAAACATTAAGAAAAATATTCACAATACATTACTGAATATTTAATTGTTAACCTATTTGTATCAGTCATCATTGACAAGTAAGTACATTTTCACTGTTAATAGAAAATATAATTAGTAAAATGAAAATGTTCAATTTAATCCTACAAAATAATTGGAATGTGGTGTGTGCTACTTATATTGACATAAGTAGTATATGATGTTAGTCGTTAACAGAGATCAAGCAGTAAAGAATAGAAACAAAATGCAATTTATATGAAAATGCAAGAACAAAGAAGTCTGAGTCATTTTGAGACAATTGGTGGACATTTTGCAAATTAAGCATTAACTTTATGATTGTTAGATTTTATTAACAAATCCTGTAGTTTTGTGTTAAATAAATTCGATTGTCCCCCCTCCCCAAAAAAATGTAGTGAACAAGAAAACCAGTGGAGATAAGTTCA